AAGGAAAAGCTTCAGCAACTACTGGGTTTCTCAGAGGATGTAAAAAAGGGTTAAATGTGAGAAGATAAAAATATATACGCAGCAGCAATAAAAGATTATGTAACTGTGAGAAACTGGCCATTTGCTGTTGTTTCCTGTGTTCGAGACGGGCACAATCGATGTCGAGTCCATCCAGGGTGGTAACGGTTATGGGCTTAAGATTACTGCTGGACATATATTGGTCATTGACCACTGACAGTAATGGCCAATAATGTCTCTGTTAAACATCACCCAGGGAGCACACACCACACCGACTCCTGTACCGTGCATGTTGTACACACGATGGGGGAAAAGCAATGCTAGCTGAGCTCATACAGCTTACAAAGCACAAACTGAGCACAATGACAGCTGTAGAAAATACAACTAAAAGCATCAAACTCTGAACTAAATGTGCTGTTTTTTTTTTGTGCCAGGGTTCAGGATTAGCTTCATCATTTCCAAGAGTGCAATTGATTTTTTTTGGAACACCTACGATGGCTGACAGAGAGGTTTGATAATGGTGTCATGGAAAAGTGAACTTCATGGTGTGCAGAGTATCTGACTCAGAGAGATGAAGTGCTCTGTTCTTGCATCCTCGCAGGAAGCTGCTGCCATTATCTAACACAGGAAGAGTGAGGACAAAACCAAACTAAACCAGGATGAAGAACTGAATAAAGGCATCAGATCTTAACCTTTTACCAATCATTTCAATGAACTGGCATGAATGAGCCAAAATCTTCAAGGAGGCTCATATCAGATTTGGCAACAACCTCTGAAGGCTGTCACCCTGGATCAGAGTTGTAGTGCTATTTGAAGTACAGGAGCGCACCTATGAGGCATGCACGTGTACGCACATGGTTAAGTTGTGGCTCATTTTGAGGGCCATGTAAACACTTCTCCGTGTGTGGTAACTGTAATTACCCAAAGGATCAGATGTCAGGCTGACTTTATTCTCTGGTGTGGCAGAACAACAATACGAATCAAAAGCCATTAGCTATAGCCATAACTAGGCCATAATCTCGACAAGAGACACGTCCCATCCAAAATATGAAAAATGAACTCCTCCATATTTGTCATGACCAGTCATCAAATGCCTCCTAAATCTATAAGAAAACAGATGGTGTCCACTCCAGGGTGAAGCTGGCTCCAAAACGTACCGAATGTTCACCGCTTCATGTTGGTTTGCATGTCAACCAGCAGCAGTGAACACATCGGCTGTGCACGGGGCTCACAACTGGACATCCTGTGCTCTGCTAGTGTCATATAGGCCTGCAGCTGTTCACTCACAGGTAAAACAGTTTAAATCCCATCATCACTGAAGTTAAGCCTAAATAAAGCCTGTTTCTGCTGCCAATTGTCACATCTGGTGTTTGCCTCCACGGCCCCTCCTGGAGATCACGCTCCAGTTTGGCAGTCCGAATGACTGAGTCTGACTCGACATTGTGAATCAATCACAGTACCATAAATTTTAATATCACAACTTAGATGGTGCAAGGACAATAATCTCAGCCTCAACATGGACAAGACGAAGGAGATGATAGTGGACATGAGGAAGGAGAGGAGATCTCATCGGAGGAAGGCCCAATGGCGGCTGTACTTCCTGAGGAGGTTTGGCATGTCGCTTAGGATCCTTTGCAACTTCTACAGCGGCATCATTGAGAGCATCTTGACCAGCTGCATCACTGTCTGGTATGGCAGCACTACTGCTATGGACTGCAAGCGCCTACAGAGAGTGGTAAAGACTGTGGAGAAGATCACCAGGACTCCACTGCCCTCTCTGCAGAGCATTTACCACCGCAGGGTGCGTAGGAAAGCTGCCTCCATCCTCAAAGATCACTCCCACCCCCAGCACGGACTGTTCACCTCCCTACCCTCTGGCCGGAGGTTCAGAAGTGTGAAATGCAGGACCTCCAGACTGAAAAACTCTTTCTTTACCTCTGCCATCAGACTCCTAAACAGCTGAAGGAGTTTACTACCAGGAAATACGTCATGTACTGTCGACCTGTACTGTTTACATTCTCAGTTTGCACATGCATAACTGCACACTCACTGCTGCCTATTGCACATCCAGCTCCAATGTAGCATACACTTGTTTCCACTTGCTGTTTTAAGGGCCTTTAGACTTTGTGTACAATTTATCTACCTTATATTTCTCACCTTGCATTGTTTGGCATTCACTGTGGACAGCGAAGTAAGAATTTCATTGTAGAGGGAAACACGTTTCCTCACTGTGCATAAGACAATAAACACTGAGTTTTGACCATTTTATTCTGCAGGACATACACTTTACTGATGATTGAATCTTCAACTGCTCAGATTATGCAAATATTCCTTTTTGTCTCATGGAGAGAAAAGCAGCGGATTGTCGTTCCAGTGTGTTCTGGCAGCGCTGCACCTATGGCCCGTATTAAACAAGCAAACCCTTCAGTGTCAGCAGCGCTAGACACGAGGTCTCCATGTTTCAGTCAACACTGAAGCAAACAAAGTGGTGCTTGCACATTTATTTCCAGCAGTACCTACACACTTGTTAGTTTATTTAATCATGACATCAGTTAATAAATAAGGGGTTTACATCCATAACAACTCGTGAAAGCACCATTTAAGCTAAACTTGTAGTTTATTTTTAATCTAACTCAGATTTATTCTTTGCGGTTGCCTTCTTGTGTAATTCCTCCCTCGAGGGACAGGTGTAGGTGTAATAACTGGCACGGAAACAGCTTAAAAAGTTCAGTGAAGCTCGTGCTCATATTTCCACAGCAGCCTTACCCAGGTTTCTGTGGCAGCCATGTTAGATGCATAAGCTTTCCTTCACACTCACTTGTGCTAGCATTGTTTTCTTTTTTTCTTGCAAAGCCTGGGAAAACAGACTCAGGAAAGCACAGTGACCTTGTTCAAGCCAAGACCTCCGTCAGGGTGTGGTTTCGGCTGTAAGCACAGTTGCACATCACTGCTACACAGAAAGAAGAAGCAGCAGCAGCAGGGGAGGGGTGGGGGTAGGGGGGCACACAGGCTTGCATCAGACAGAGGGCAGGCCAGACAACTTTGAGCTCACACTCTTATGAAAGATGTGTCCCTTCAACACAACCATGTGCACCATTATAAGCATCTCTTAAAGCACAAATATGGGTGTAGCCACAAGGTGGTGTTGACAAAGGCACAGCTGTTGTAAGAGCGCAGGACAACAGGCCATCATACCAACAGACAGACAGAGCGGTAGTGAGGCCGTGATTCTGGCCGGCAGCTCGCCGCCGCCACCTGTGCTGGACTGTGCTGCTAACCACGAGGCTTACCGATGGTAGCAGAGTGTTTGGGGCTGGAGGCAGACCCCTGCTGGTTAAAATGGTGGTGCAAGTTCCCAGCTGCAAAGAGAACAGAGCCAACAAACTGACGGACAACCACTCCAGAGACACAACAGGCACGTGTCGAGTAAGCATTTGTGTCAACAAAGCGACAGAGAGAGAGAGGGACAGAAAGACAGAGACAGGGGAGAGAAGACAGTCCCTGCAGGAAATGGCTTCAGTTTTTTTTTACCGACACACATCTCTAGGGCTGCAGCCAACAGGTATCGCCATCAGCCAATTATTCTCTCTTTTACTGATTACTCAGTTTGTCAGACAAGAGTGAAAAATGCTTTTATTTCTCAAAGCTCAAAATATAATTATGCAATTATTATATTTTTCATATTAAGCTTAAACATTTGAGTTTTAACCAGCAAATGTTTGAAACTCTTGATGTAAAAAATAATGAACTGATTATCAAAACAGTAACAAATAACTGAACAATCACTGTAGCTCAACATATGTCTACAATAAATTCAACTGCTGATCAACATAATTTATACAGCCTGTCTTTCCGTGTCTCCAGACAGGGAGGAGACGATCAGCGAGGAGCTGCAGTTTGCAGTTCAGGCTTTACAGTAAAGTTTTATGTGCAAAACGTCAGCATACATGTGCTTTTAATGTGTTGAAGCTGGAGTCAGTCTGTCTTAACAGAGCACAGAAGGCGTTCGGCATCAGTGACAAGGGCAAACTGCAGGGTTTTTTTTAGTTAAAACTAAAAGTTCCGCAAAATTAAAAAACAACTCAGCAAAATCCTGGAGAGACTGAAATGAGAGAGAGAGCTTGTTGCTGTGAGAGGTGAGAGAGGGTGAGAGAACAAGAGCAGACTCAAAGAAAGTGTCGATTCTGTGTCCGACCTGTCTGATGTCCACCGCTCAAACCTCAGAGAAATGTGTGTGCCAACTATAATCTGATAATGAGAGCAACACTGTCTCCTCAGAAACAACAAAGAGATGTAGCTGCGTGAGAGTGAGAAAACAAAAATCAAATAAGGACTTGTTGAGTCTGATCAGCAGACAGTGGTAAAGCACCTTAAAAATGTTAAAGGGGACATCTACTTCATTTAAACTGTAAAATAATAAAACTAAAACAACTTTAAAATGAACACTTACAGATAAATGTACAGCTAAGCCCTCAAGTGAGTTTAATAACAGCTTCGTTTTGAGAACTGTCGACTTATTTACACTGTTTTAGCTGAAAACAGGCGTCTTATTATCTTATGAGCCCCAAAACTAATGAGGACACTTTGTCTGTAATCATGTAAAACTGCAACATGAGAAAGAATAGACTGAGAAAGTGGAGCATAAAAATACAATTATTTAAGTCAAATTTGTTTTGCAGAAATCATATTTTCTGGTTTAGAAATCCATGTTTTATTTCATACGAGTACTGACTCGAGCGGCTAATGAACGGATTTGTTTTGCCTCAAATTTACAGCAGCTGCTTCTTTGTTTAAACTAATGGCTGGCTTTTTGCAATATGTCATATATGTGGTCACCTTCTGGTTTAAGCACTAGTAAACATAGGATGACCAAAGATGAATCCACTCTACAAGAAGTAAATATGATTATTAAGCAGTCATTTCTTCTAATGACTGAATTAATACCGCCTACACCCGAAGTGTGATGTGTGTCGCTGGTAAAACCAGCACCGTCCATGCCACTTGAATCCTCGTTTCATGTTTTCACCCCAAAACATGCAAAGTTGGTGTTTTTGTGTCCAAATTCTGCTGAGCGCACACAAACATCTCATCACTTACTGCGGTTGTCTTTGCTCTGCAGGATGGGGGTGTAGAGGTTTTTGGATATGCGTCCGTCGGAGGCGGTGGGAGTCAGCATCGTGTTCTTGTTCCTCTCCCCCTGCTGCACGGGGCTCGACTGGTGACGTAAGATATCCACCAGCGACCTGACGCGGCAGAGGGTGGATGGATGAGGACAGGAGGAAAAAGGGACATGAGAGGACAGGAAGGAGAAAAACAATAAGAATATGGAGAAAATATCAACATAGTCAAGTCAAACAACCTGACTTCAATCTTTTTAAAGATGTTGATCTTTATTAAATCACCAAGTCAAATCAATCCAGTCCAAACTGATTTTATCATCATCAGTACTTCCATTAGCTGCGAGCATTTACCACAATAGACACAACTTTCTTCTGGCCTTAATCTCACTGTTCATCTGATTTGTGTATTATTGTAAGGACTGTCTTTGTTTTGGCCGCCATTTGGTTCTGATGTGGGTTTGGGGAACATTCACAGCTGCTGGTTTGGAGCAGTTCATTCAGAGTTGAACAAAATATCAGTGACCCTCTTATTCTTGATGTTTCACAGTTTGAAGTCAAGACAAGGCGCAGCAAAACCCAGGTTCATCATGTTTATCTGAAGTTGTAAAGACAGGAATCAAATGCTTCTGACTAACCAACGACAAGTCATCTGACTTTAGTTTACAAGCTGTGCATCAACTGGAAGCAGGCAGCGTGAATCTTAATGGACCACATGAAAAAAACACAACGCAGTAAAGTTTGGATTTCAATTCAGGCCACAAAAAACAGGGTGTAGGTGTGGCTCCATCCATACATGTTCAGATCTTTATTGTCCCTTGGGGGGAAATCTGATGTGCACTAGTGGATAAAAGACATATAACAACATATAACAGGACAAGGAACACTGATGACAACATTAATGGTAAAAGCAACCAAGGATAAAAAGTAAATCTTCGTTAAAAGTATCCAGTATAGCGTATATAATAGTAAATGGCTGTCGAACAGTGCAGATGGGACTTAATGCAAGGTGAGTATGATAATAATAAAAAAACCACAATAAAATGCTGCCAATTATTTTGCTGGCAGCTTTTGGTCAGCCTCAGTCACAACAGGTTTGTTGTCGAGACTCACCTGGGCATGTTGATGTCCCTGTTTTGGGGTCGGCGCGACACCTTGCTGAAGGCAATCCTGACACCCACAGCCACCACCAGCGTGAAGGAGATCACCCCTCCAATCACGTAGGCCGTACTGGTTTTAGAAGGAAACAACATCAGCTCACTCAGCACGACAGCGGAGGGCGTAGCAGTCTGTACTGCCTCGCCATGTGCTTGGACGGATCACGGTGGAAAGCTGGCCATGTACTGATGTACGAAGGTATCAAAGACTATTTACACATGGTGCAAAGTAAATACCAGCACTATTACCAGCTTTGTGACTCACACTATGTTTTTTACTACTTTACTCTTGCTAATACTGTAGCTGAGTTTGATCAAAATGATAAAGGAGCTCTAAAGTCTGGATTTTCCAGACATCCTTTCTGTATGTAAACAACAAGGACGTGTGTTAGGTCGTTTACTAATGTGCAGCAAAGCAAATTCATTGTTTTTCAGAACAAAAAACAAATGCAATGAAGGGTTTGACCAGATTGACATCACTTATTTGTTACAGTTAGTAAAATATTTTACTTTTCTAAAACTGGTTTCACCACCAACAGTGACAAACTAGTCCAGGCTCTGACCTGCTGTTGGTTTGCTGAAGCGTCTCGAAGTCTGGGTCAGGCTTGTTGCCTGTGGGCACGGTGACGGGGACCTGTGGGTCGGCCCAGACGGGGGACTTGTAGTTGGTGCAGGAGTCCTGGTCCAGCCGGTTCCTCTGGTGCTCGCAGCAGAACCTGTAGTGGCAGGTGCCGCAGCAGTAGATGTAGCTGCCCTTGGAACAGTTGAACGTGCTGTCAAAGTGTCCCATGACGTCAAAGTAACCCCTGTGGAACAAAGACAAATGTCACCCATGCTGTAGATTCAAGATTTTTATCTGCCATTTATGCATAAACAGACAGTCTAGGCATATAGGAATTCTTGTGCCACTTTCCTTTGGAGTCAGGTAAGGAGTCAAAAGCCAGAAAGAACACTAAAATAAAAAGTTACATAAAGGCAACAAAGCATTAAAACCCCAATACACAAAAATAGAATAACAGTATTTCCCACAGTGAACTTCAAACATTGCACTTAGTACATCACATGGTGGAGTTGGATACGGGGGTTACTGCACATGTCTAGTAAGGGGTTAGTGCACATACTGTATATTCTCACATTTTCGTATTTGCCATCAGTTTTACTGCGGCAGAGAAAAAGCTGTTGTAAAGTCTTGTTCTGTGTGTGATGATACTGTCCGCCCTGCTGTGTCCGAGGCTGTATTTTCTGTAGTATTTGAAATCTCTGCAACTTGGCTTGTTTGCTCAAGCAACAATGGGATGTCACTGTCTTTTCAGTCTCATTTATTCAGGTGTCAAACCCAAAGATTCAAATTCAGAAGCAGCTCTCCAACAAATTAATGTCCATTCTTCATGGCCACATTTGATCCACGCCCATTTCATCGGACTCTAATGAATCCCACATTAAAGTAGCACAGATTTCAACATAAGGCTCCAAAGCACTCATTCCAAGCAAAGCAAGTACCAGTAGACTCCTATTAAGGACAGTGTCATCTGTGCCAATACAAGCAGAGCGATCACAACAGCTGCACTTCTACTGATGGACAGAGGATGTTTCTGTTACAGTTTTGCAGGTGATTTGAAGCATTTGTACTCATTAGGATCCCAAAGTCTGACCCCTTGTAATCGTTCTGAGAGGCGGAAACAGCCAAGCAAAGAGGGGTCTGGTGGGTTAAGGGTAGATGCTTATGGCTGACATGATAGCCTGTTTGGATCCAGCAGGAAAGGTGCAGGTCAACAGGTCGCTGCCGAAGCAGCGCCAGTGGGTGTCCTTTGGGGATGATCTACATCCCCCAAAGAGTATGAGCAAATCAAATAAGTGTTTGTACTTTGTTACGTTCTTCTCTGAGCACCTCCGGCTCCACGCAGATAAATGTTGTTGCATTTTCTTTGCTGTGTAATCTGTGGATGGTGCAGGATTCTGCCTTAGTAGCTAAACAATCAATAGCAAAATGGAGGAAAGGCTGCTAGTTAGCATTTCTGAGGAGGCCGAGCTAAGAAATCTTACAGAAATGATCGCCACACTGAAAGCAACACCACATTTAGAGGAACACTAGTAGATCTGTTAGCCTCTTGTTGCTGTGCTGTTAGTGCTGCTTTGGGCTGAATGCAGCCGCTGATGATAGTGAGCTGTGTGTAGCTGCTCACCAACACACAGCTGATTTAGAGCCGATTACGTGTTGCCTAGAAACAGCAAGACGCCTCTCAGTGTAAAATAAAGGTTCATTGAGATCAAGATTAGAGCTGCAGGAAAAGAATCAGGATGAGTCTCGCTTTCCGGTGTGATCAACACATTACACAGATGGAGACAAAGCCATTCTGCTTCGAACTTAGCTTCTGTAAAGGTTAACTTGGTTAACTTTATACAACATGCTGAAGAGAGGCGCTCAAACAATCTGCACTCAGTTCTTATTAAACAGATTCATTTGAACTAGTTTTCACCTATATTTTAGGTCGTCTTGTCCTGCGAGAGGACACCGATCCCCTGTGGTTTTCATTAAACACACTCATTCCAGAGATCCTCCAAAATAAACAAGAAACGGTTCAGTGAGCAGGTTCATTTTTAGATTAAAAAATAATTAAATTTCATCTGATTTTCAGTGAAATAAAAATGTTTTCCCAAGTTCTAATCCAGTGCCTCTGTGTTATTACTTTTAAATTTGTATTTTTATATCAAATTTTATTTCATCTTCCTGTAAAATATTAAAATTGTCCATCACATAAAACCACACCTGACTGTTAGCAACATCATCTACTGAGGTCTCATTCCTTCTCCTGGTCTAGTGGACATGAGGACGTGTGTAGAGGTGGACCATCCTGCCTCTCTATCCAGCTCCATATCCTGCTAAATTCACTTTTCTTTTCACAATCCGATCACATTTCAGGGATTTAAATCCCTTCCATAACTAAGCCCTTCCCACACATGTGACGTCACATTACAGATGTTGAAGCTGCTCCAGCTGACTCTGACTCCAAAATAAACAGTGATGAACTGAAATCTACACCACAGCACACACTTCTGTTTTGGCTCTACCTGCACACGTCCACATCCACCAGCTGTCTTGGAGGAGGAGCCACCTGGGCCGCACCAAGCGGGGGCTTCAGGGCGTCTGCCGTCATGTTCCTCGGCAGCATGGTCTGAGGGAGGGGCTTTGGGGGGAGCTCGGCCATAACTGGGGAATCGTCTCCCTCCTCTACCTCGGCTGCTTTCAGCGCCACTCTGGGCCCGGCGGGCATCGGGGGCTTGTAGCCGGTCAGGAGGAACAAGGCGGTGCTCGTTTTACCTGCTGCAGCAGAGCCACTGTCAGCAGCACGTCGCTCGGTGCTGACGGTCCCCGTGGAAACAGCGAGACGGGAGACAAGCAGGACTACGAAGGACAAGCAAAACATCCTTCTTGAAACTGTAGGTGTCATTGTTTTTACCAGAAAGTTCTTCAGCTGTTGTTAAAAAATGTACATAAACAGCTTCTAACACACTGGGAGCTTCCAAGGCGACAGCTTCGCTTATAAAAACCGTCTGTAAGAACAGTCCAGGTGAATGAACCCCTTCCTGTTGTGTTCACGCTTCCCACATGCAAAGGGTGTCTCTTAGGAGTCCAGCAGATTCACTCTGTCCAAACACTGCTTCATCAATGTCATATGTAAACATTTCTCTTACATAAACTATTCCCTTAAGCAGCTTTTGTAAACATTGAGGTGTGTCAAGAGTTTTAGGCCCTATACAAACAGCCTGCTGACAGGCTGGAGCTCCGAAATAATCACTTTAAAAATATAGCACAGAACGGGGTTGTTGGTGCTGGATATGTAATTTTGGTCTGTTGGATGAAAAAGTGGTTTTACTGTCCAACTGGCCAAAATGTTAAATCCCCAACAAAGGCAGTACTTCCTTACATTTGATGTAAACAAAACAAATGGCTGCTCCAGAAGAGGTTTTCTGTGACACAAAAGGTAAAATTCACATAAGAACCTGCGACGACAGATGTAGTCTGTAAACATTAAGCGCTGTGTGTAAACTTTACTGTGCACGTGCGACGAGCTTTAACTGATGCTGGGGTTCGGCACTTCTGTTGTCCTGTGTGGATAACTGATGTATAAAATCACATGTGGAAAAATAATGTTATCAGTTCAAATATTCAAGCTGTGTGTGTGTAAACAGTGCTGGCAGCTTTAGAGATCTCAGCTTTGGTGAACAAGCTGAGAGGAAGTCAGTCTAAATTTGGCACCCGTTTCTTTCTTCTTCTTCTTCTTCTTCTTCTTTCTACACCGCACACAATTTGCTCGATGAACCAGCTCCTCCCTTCTGAAAATTCAAGGAGCAATATCAGTAAAGGTCAATATGCTTATTAAAATTTTGGTTTAAATGAATAGAGAGTGGTGACTTTAAAAATAAAGGTGCTGCTAAACGACACGTCAAGGCATTCACAGAATCAACAGCGATGAAGTGCTCACAGATTAGAGAGAGCAGAGGTGAAGACCGTGAGGATCTAAGTGCGGTCGATGCCCTTGTGTGAGTGTCTGCTCTGAATGTAGCGTGGCCCAGCAGAAGAGAATGAAGGAGGGCTTGGGCCCGGTTCTAGCAGGGGAGCAAGGTTCTGCCCACAGCACAGACATGAAAGTGTCCGGATTCATCCGTCAACACAGAGGAACACGGGACGACGACGACGGCGAATCAACACGCTCGTGCCACTTGACGGTTCAGTTCAGAGCGCGAGCCAGAAAGACGCAGGTAGAAAAAGTCAGGACGTCCAAAGCTGTTCTCTCATTGAAATGTGTGAAACGTCTCACCAGCGGTTTCATCACCCGCTCCCTGAATGCGTATGTGCACCGACGTGACTGAAAGTCACCGTGTGAAGTAATGTCGAAGCTGTTTTGTAAATGTGAACGGTATCGTTATGGCTGGTGTTCAGTATGGCTTTAGGTTGTGTTCCCTTTTTTTTTTACAAACTGGATGTCCTTCCACAAAAAAAATGTAAATACTGTGAAAGGTTTTAAATTGCATGTTTCAGTAGAGTAACAGGAAGAATGCAAAAAGTCTGATGAGGTCACTGGGATTAGATAAAGGGGGCGATCGGGTTGTTTAGTGCGGTGTAATCAAGAGCCACATATGGAAGAAACAAGACGACAAAAAGTCAGAGACCTCTCGCACGTAAGCAACTGGAAGAAGGAGAAGGCAAAGTGTCAGCAGTGTTTCACAGCGCAGACTGAGACGACAGTGTCTCTCCAAGCCCCCGAGATAGCAGCGGCAGCGGTGCCGATATTTATCAGGGCAGACGTGGCCCGTGTTGCCTGTCAGTCAAACGCCATCCTGCCAAAGAGGCAGAGCTATCGCTGCCTGCCATGCTGCCAGCTACAAACAAACCCTTAGCTGGAGAATCCGTTTACAAAGCACTTGGAACTAATAATGTACTAATCATCATCATCATCTCGCAGTTTTAAGCATTAAGAGCAGCAAACACTGACCGAAGACAACGGATATAAACCTTTACAATGGTTCTAAAATATCTCTTTAACACTCTGTTGTGAATGTGTTGAGATTCAGTGTCAGTTTAACTGGACGCTGTAATGTGTTTGTGGGTTGAGGAGGAGACGATGGAAGATGTTTTCTAGTTACTAACTAGTTCCTACGAGGACTTAGTGATGGGTAGTTTTTTGCTTCTTCGTTTGACACAGTCAGTTTGGCAGCTGGTTTTGGTCTCAGTTGGAACAGAGCAGCTGACGAGAGGGGACGAGGGCTCAAATCCTGATTCTGACAATGTCAGAGAAAGTAAAAATAGTGGAAAAATGAGAGTAAACAATGAGGAGCCTCGGCTTTGAAAGCAGCTGAGAAACTTCCCAGGAAAACCTCGGCACTCAGGACGGTGCTGATGAGGTCCAGGCTGCTTCCACCTTCCCTCTGCTTGGTGAAGTTTCTCCTCCTCTCACAGCTTCACATGGAGTTGTTCACTGGAAGAGAAGAACAACACGCAGGGCACTGGTAAGTAAGAAAGAAGCCGTTTATTGTCACTGCTGTTTTATCCCATTTCATTCAACACACGCACACAGATGTTTCCAACATCTTCACAACATGATCACACTGCTCCTGGTTCTGAAACAGCTGCTGATATGTTGGCACTGATATTTCCAGGGAGCAGGTGGAGATGATTTACAAGTCTCAAGTTGTTCATCTCACCTGAACCATTTGTAACTTTATTTATTTATTTATTACGTGAGGTCAACTACCAGAAAAACCTAAATGTAATGCTGTAAGGTGGAGTCACATGCTTTCATGTATTGATTACTTCCGATCAATACGTTTCACAATTTAAGTTGAAAATAGTTTCAATATGCTGGTTATGTCTGAGTTTTGCAGCATCAAAGCAACTTTTCACATTAGATTTTCATCTGTAATTAAATATCAAACTAAGGCTGCAACTAACAATTATTTTCATGATCAAACAATCTGCAAATTATCTTCTCGGTTAACTGAGGAAGTGTTTGGGCTACAAAATGTAAGTGAGGTGGGAGTGATTTCTGCACAGAGGGACATTCAGTGGCCCCTGTGATAGTGGCCCTGCACTGATGCCATAGTGACGTGTAGCAGTGAATCAGGATCAAGCAGTTTATGAAATATATCAGGTGTAAATGTCAGCAAGCTGCAGCTGTTAATTCTAAGTTATAATAATCAATATTTGATATCTCTCTGTAGTGGACAGAGAAAACAAAAATGAGACAAAATTCAGTTGCTGAGGAAACAACATCACCTGCAGCAGAGCTCAAAAGACAAAACATGCACCGTGGCATCAGAATAGAGACGAAGCACATGGCAGAAGATCAAAAGTGGCCCTGTTCTCTCAGTGTAAGTGGAGGAAATAACAGGAGAACAGGACGTTCTGATTCTAGGGTTACAGAGCTGATGGGAACAGTTTCCCGATTCACTGCAACGTCGCTGCTGGAGAGTTTTGGGTACACCGACAGCCTGGCTTCACATCAGTGCGTCTCCAAAGTTGCGGGGCCTTTTCCAACCCACTTCCTCAGATGTCTTAATTAAAAAGCCCCCGCTGGCAAACAGCTGAACTTCTGTGGGCTTTCCAGGCACTAATGCTTCAATTCAATACAAATAAAATGAAAATCAATGAAAGTGAATGTGTACACTTGTGTCCATTCATGGAGTAAACATGGCCTGGGGGTCTGCAGGTTTCAGAGAATAAAACATGGATGGTGCCACAGCCAACGCGCCATTCTGAGTGGATTTGTCTTTTTCAGTTTAATGTCGCCTCTTATTAAAACAGTGTGAACGGAGCAGAGGTCAGACAGTTTTATTTTTATTTTTATACCAGAGCACAATGAGCAACACTAAAGGAAGATTTTTATCTCATCATGACTTTGTTTATTAAAGGATATTCAGCTTGTTAATTTACCTAAGAGCTTGTACAGGGAGGTCAACCCTACTGCGAGAATGTTCAGCGATGTGCTCATCAACATTCAAACATCTGCCAGCGCCGTTTATGCCTCCTAACCGAACACTTCTTACATGATGTTTGCTGAGCAGACGTCTATCAGATAAATGGACAGAGAAACCTGCATGGATCCCCAAAGGGAAATGAAGTTGTTACAGCAGCCAGAACCAGACACCAGATCCCATTAGGATCTTGATCACGACTTCCAGCTGCAGCAGCTGCGACCCTGAGTCTGCCCGTGTTTATGGCGTCCGTGTCTCTGCCTGAGTGCGCAGATCTCTGCTGGTCTCATGCCGTCTTCCTGCTGCTGTGTGTCTGCACCCACCCCTGATCTGTCCCGCTGCACGTACACCTGCTGCTCTGCCTCCCTACATGGATCCCAGGAAACTTGAGTACGATGTGGTGCACTACTGAGGTCACCCATTTCCATGCTATATACTGCAACTATGTACTAAAGCTGCAATGATTAATCAATTAAATTAACTACTTTCTAACTAGATCATCTTATTTTTTCCTTTCATAACAACTGGATCATGGAGTTGGAGTCATGGATCTCATCACTGTTCAGGTCAGAAAACAGAAAAATGTCCAGTTTCAATGAAAACTATGAGAGTTTAGTATTGGCTGATATTACTGTAGTTTTCTTTACATGGCCACTAACAAATAAACATTTTTGGTCAAGTTAGTTTTATTTAAATTGGAACCAGAGATGTTCTGAAAATGACTTGAACAAACTCTCCGGTGGATAAACATATCTTTGACACTTCTGTTCCTCGGTGTCTTGTCATGCATCAGCTGATACTTTTATGCGATTGTCTGTGAGGCTCTAATGGAATTGTACGTTGCTCAACAGGGGACTGATCCATTTTTCCCACTCCCTTGGTTCTGCAGTAACAGGAAATGACTCAAAACTTGTGTCAACAGACGTCACTGGAACTGTGACTCTGGCTCGCCACCGACAAGTCAAGTTAAACAGAGAGCAGTGTTTTCCAGTGATTCATCCAGGAGCTGTTTCACCACCACCCACCGTTTTACAGCTGGACGTAGCTCCTTAATTTCCTTTGTACACTTCGTTACGGGACCCTGCCGTCCATCAGCAGCAGCTACAGAAACCCTAGACAGCACACTGTACTGTGGGTCTCCCATTTTGCCTGTGTACATGCACAGTATCTGTATCCACTCTCAGGAGATGAGAGAGTCAGTGATTTAGAAGATCCAGTAAATACAGTGATGTTCAACTCTTATTCGGTCCAACTTTTAATGACTGCATCTGTTCTGATCGACAGTAATTTATTCAAACTGCAGTAATCCCAAAGAAAACCTACTTCAATATGCAGTTATTTTAAGCGCTGCATGTTACAAAACCTAAATGCATGAGTAATGCCTCCCTGAGTGATTCAAACACCCAGAGACGTGGTGCCAGTCTGCTGGCTCTCAGCCACATTGTGCTTCATTTCCAAGGACCTGACAACCTTCAGTTCAAACAGCACATATGGAACAGTGAACCCCCAACGTTCAGTCAACACACGAGTCTCTGTAGGAAACAAAGAGTGATTTAATTCATCAGCGGAAGTCAAATCTGAGGGGAAATGCTGCAATATTACAATCTTTATTAATTTAATCTTATCTGCAACTTTGAAGTAAAAAGATTTTTTTAAACCTGATCAAAACACTAAAACTAAGTGACATCCTATTTTTACATTCACAGTTTCAGAGTGATGTAGAATGTATTGTCACCAGCACAGTTTCAGGCGCCTCAGATGCGAATATTTGATACATTTCTAAATTTCATATCTAATTTATTTAGAAAGTAGACTGTTGGTCAGATGACACATGACCACTTTCTAAAAGAACCTGGCTGCAGACAAGATGGCGGACCTTGTAAGCTCCAACCGACCTGGGCAGGAACTTGGCGATAATAGCTGGAAGTTGTTCATCTCGGCAGGTTTATGGTCAAGTTTGTGGTTGACGGCGAGGGCAGTGGACAAGGGTATGATTAAGGGTAGGATTAGGGGCCAGGGTTAAGAGTAACTGTCAGGTTAGTCCGTCATGGAAACCTTCATTAGTTAAAACTGATTAGTTTATTGCACTGAACACCAAAATGATGGTTTTATCCATGATTATATGTTCATTTAGTGTCAGAAAAATATATTGTGATATTGGTTTTAAGCAATTGGCCTCACCCTACTGTACAGTATGAGCTCTACACGTCTGGGTCCACTCCCACAGAAAACTGTTTTTGCCTGTATGTTTGTCGCTGCTCTTCGCCTACTTGACTTTCCCTTGCAGGAACACATGAGCTTTAAAGATACAAAAGACCCCTGACAGGGCTGAGTTGATGCAGCAGAGCCCCCCTGCAACACACACACACACACACACACACACACACACTCCTCGGTCCGTCCCTCCATCCAGTCGCTTTCTCCCTCTCTGGCAGTGCGTGGGCTGGAGCAGCTCAGCACTGCAGCACTGGACAGAGAGAAAGCAAAACCAAAGGCGTTTGCTCCCACTCTTACTATTTAGATCTTTTAAAATTATTATTATCATCTCATCTTTTTTTTTGACTTAACACAAATAGCGTCAGTCCATCCTGCTGGCGTCCATGGTGCCGCCATCACACAGTTGCGTCTTTTTATAAGAATCAACTCTCCGTCCCCTCTTCGTCATCCTTCCTGCCCCACCCGACTTATTCCCTCCATCTTCATTATTCACCTCACCTCCTCTCTTTCCTCTTTACCCCCATTCTCGACCCTTCTCTCATCTCTACTCAGCCCCTCCCTCCCTCTCTAAAGCATGCTGGGAAATGTTCCCGTGCATAAGGGCATGCAGCAGCAGCAGCAGCGACAGCATGGCACTGTGGACCGGGGCCACGCTGACAGAGCTGTCGCTGCCGCTGGGAACTCTGTCCATAAAGGTCAGCGCGCTGCCCTTGGTGCTGACAGTGATGCGGAGGTGGTGGAATAAAACTGGTTCAAAATCAAATCCATTTATGTAACCTGGCTTTCAGATGGTGGCGTGTAGTGAGCAAGGAGGACTGTAGCAGGCCTCCATTAACTGGCGTCAGAAAAACACTACAAAACGATGTCTTTCAGCCAGAGCTGAGTCATCTGGTACTGTCACTACATATTTTAACAAAATATAATCACATCCTGAGTGACACAAAGTGCCAGGTGACAGTTCAGTCATTTATTCATGGGTGGGTGTGTTTTTATCTGAGGTCTATAAATGTATGAAGCATTATGGGAAGGAAACGACACTGTAGACCGCCACTATCCTGAGTACAAATGAGCAGCACACAGGATGTCAACGCCCCCAGGGTGGTGGTGTTGTTAGAGCAGAAACTAGCCCTGCAACTAATTCTATTATTGATTATTTTGCTGAATAATCATTTAGTCTAAAAAAAGTCTCTGAAAATGGTAAAGACTGGATTTCTCTCTTTTTTCCTGCCCCAAACCCACAGATAACAAACTTAAAACGATTCAAAACAGTGAAAGTGGAACTAGTGAATCTTAAATGGCTTAAATCATTAATTAATCATTTCAGTTTTTCGTCTCCTCCTTGGTTCAAACTGCCTAAAAACTGAAACTAATCATTTTGTTATCAGTTAATCTGCATCTTATTTTCCCAGTTCATCACTTTGCTGTTTGGATTATACAACATGTGAAAAGTGGGACATGCACAGTGACGTCATCACAGACCAGATAATATCCACTTACGCTGAGGAACCCGTGAGTTTCTGGCAAATTTTTCTGGCCAATTAAATTCACTCTGATTCACTTTCTGTCAAGCAAAAGCAAACTGACCAACAAATGGCTGTAGCTCTACCAGCAGCACCCACAGTGCGTCGTCCACAGGGCTCAGACAATACCCAGGAGGAGCTCTAATTAAATACAAACACTCATAAAACATTTTATTAAGCTAATTCACCAACACTTGTGGGTGCCCTGCATGATGCCAAACAATACAACACTATAAAGCACTACACATTAGACAGGAGAGAAAAGTTCCTGCAACATCAGGGTAAAAACTGACATCAAATTCATCTACGATGGAGCAACTGCTTCAAACTTTACCTGATTTTCCAAAGACAAAGTGGGTTGTCATTTATCCAAGGATCCTAAAATGTAAAATGTACCAGTAGGCACATGTCAGAAAACACTGCTCGCATCCTATTCCTCATAAAACCCAGGACACAGAGGCAACCTGGGCAGGTGTGTGATTTACCTGTATCATGTAACACAAGGGCCATTTATACGACTTTGTCTGGTCACAGTTAGTTGTTGCCCAACACCAACTAGGAGAGGTTTGTCAACTCGACCCGAGCAGCCCAGGTAGTGATTGTTTTGCCTGCATCACATGCTACACCTTACAGATACCACAGCAGCAAGAACAGGAAGCAGGCTGGGAAATAAACAGTACATGCACGCAGTGCACAAAAACAGCACCTAGCTTACTCATCTGGCGCGGCGGCAGCACCCACAGATTTATGAGCTGCACACAGATGTCCGCACGTTCAGACCCTCACAGATTCAGGCAGATAAAGAAATTTATGTTGAGCGGACATGTAGGAAGCTGATCTGCAATGCTGCTCTAGAAACACACATGCACCGATACCAAGAGAACGCTGTAACATCAGGAGACAGGCGAGACATGATTAAAAAATAAAAAAAGATCACTAGAGCAGAGGATGAAATGTTCTGCCTGTCAGTCCCTGGAGCCACAGTTCGCATAATGAAAATCTCCTGTTAAACCCTTCCTGTCCCTTAAATGCCCATGGTGTATCTGCCACACACACACACACACACACACACACACACTACAATGTACCTGAAAATGTTCTGTGACCCTGACCGGGGTTGTTTCCTCTGACCCAACCAAACCAAGGCTCCTCCAGAGCCAAAACAGACAGACTATGATGTGTTTATTCTGTGGAACACCCCTTTAATATTTACAGCTACTCTACTCCATCCTAATAGCAATGTTGTTGTTTTTTTTACCTTAGTAAACAACAAGCATAAATATGTATTTGGTCATTTTCTACCTGGGTGGAAGGAGGGTTGAGACCAGGTCCATGTTTCATTATGGTTACTGACTAAATCTCTTATTAAATGTGTCTGTGTGAGTGGAGTCGATACCAGAACTGGAGCTCAGCGCTGGTCATGCAACTATTTCTTGTCTAATGTTTGAGCATCCAGTAAATCGGACCTAAAGCCTAATGCAGTGCAGCAGTAAACAGCAGCAGATGAAACTCTCAGCAACATTCAGGATTATTGGAAACACTCATTAAAACTGTGTCAAATACGAACAGGAGTCTAAACAGGACTGTGGCTGCAGGACTCGCCCCCCCAGTACCAACTGTAAAATAACATCTTGTCTAGATGAACCATGAGGAATAGGTGATTAATCAGTCAATATGAGTGGGTGCACCACAGGAGCTATTCTGTGATATGGAAATGTTCTTACTGACTGCATCATGCACTCTGTTTATTCCAGCATAAGCTCTCATGGTAACTGTGAAGCAGATAGTGACAGCCACTGTGAATGAGGACTATTGTGAGACTTCTCACAAATACCACACAGATTCATTTGCTCTGGCCTGTGAAACCACTTTGAATATTTCTTTCATAAGACTCTCAACTGTGTAATTAGTCTATCTGATCCGGGCCATAATTATTCCCACGGAAGACGTGGTGTAATTTTTCTCAGCGACAGCTTCAGAAGGTGTAAATTAAACATAATGTTTTGCTGTCACGGGTGTGCAGAAGTGGGACGTCGCTGTGCTGTCCCATCTGTTGAAGGTGGTTGATAAGAGAGAAACAAGGCCTCACAGAGCTGCCCCTCCCTCACGGCCAGCTGGAAGGTGCCGGTTCAGTGAGGGGCATTTTCAGTTCTCGTTGCACCGCTCCAGCCCTGAGTCATGACTAACAGCTCGGTAAATAATTTCAGTTTGAGCAGCGACGCCCGGCGGCCACTCGGCTTTGCTCTGTATTGACAGAGCAAGTCAGCACAATGTTTGCAACAGCAATGGTTAGTGCCAGGTGTCTCCCAAGGAACAGGGAGGGAAAAGCAGTGAAGATGGAGACACTACATTAATACAGCACTCTGCATGCAAAGCACTGCAATCACCACAGCTGTTCAGTCTAAACTGACGGTTACAAGCTGCATCTGTAAATGCACCAAAGCATCACCTTTGCTGGCTGCAAAAAGTGTTTTAATGCATGAGAAATTTAAAACCAAACAAAACCAATGGTGATGCTCAACACATCCTGCACATCCCAGATAATTTTGTGGAAAGGTTTCTCCTAATTTCCTAAAAATTAGCCGATACATAGTTTAATTACAGGAGTATTTCCAATGCAATTTGGTAGTAATAATAAGAGAAATGGATAAAAACTTAATGTGTGACTACTGATCTGAGCCTCAGATATCAGTTTGACATTTATGCTACTAACTGGTTGAATTTAGTACCAGACAAAGAAGAAAGGTAAATAAGTAAATCCTCTTAAAGGCCCTGCTGGAACTGAGGAAGGGTTAGCATCTTTGTTTTAAACCTGACCATTAATCTGGTCTCAACGGCACTCTTTTTTTTTTTGATCAGTTGTTTGACTAATCATTGCAGTTTCAGTAAAGTCCTCTGTTGCTGAATGTGCATGTTCACACTGCCAAACACTGGTGTGGGAACGTTTCTGGGAAACGTAATGTAAATACCTGACAAACGAAGGTGGATCACCACACTGAAAAGTTACCAAAACAATTATCAAAATAGTTGCCACTTCTTTTTTGTTGCTTTGTTTTTTAATTAACTAAAGATTCAGTCGGTTTGTTTTCCATTGAAACTAGTGAGAAGTCAATAGGAGAAATATGTTTTCCTGTCAAACCATCTTTTCATGATTTATCATACTGGCATTCACAGGAATAAAAACAGGAGCCATTTAAACCAAATATTTCTAGAAAAGCTTGTTTTTCGCTCAGTAATCGGGTCAAAACCAGAGTCACTTAAAGTCCAAAGCAGTGGAACAAAGTACGAGTAACAGCCTCTGCTCTACTTTGTATACAGGATGTGATTGACTGTAAATAGCTTCCAGTCCTGTCATGCAGGCCTGAGTCTGCTCCAGAATCACTGTCTGCAGTCCCATCTGACCTGGGAACAGCCAACCAGGTCAGCCACATGTCACCACTTCAGCTTTAATCAAGACTTCTGCAGGATGGCACCAAGATTAAACATCTAAGTAACTTGAAGCCTGCCTACTTAGCATTTATGGACATTTAATAAGTTACCTGTAACATACCACAATGAGGGTGTAAACACTTCTAAATGCATCAGTCAACATCTCGAACTTTTCCTCTGACACCCATAAGTGGAGGCAGATAATGACTCACATACCAAAGCTGTAATAATATAAAATGTCCTCACAGGAGAAGTTAACCTACATTAATGAACACGTCCACGTCTTTACAGCTGTGTTACTGACCTTTTCTTTAAAAGTCATTTTACAGCACTTTCTGCAAAAGAAAGAACGGTGCACACAGTTTTGAACTGGATAACATGGTGAAAGTTCTGACACGATCCTGTTTAGATGGGATTTAAAAAAAATAAAAACACTCCTACAGGTGTTGGTCCAGTTAAAAGTCCAAACATCCAGTTTACAGTCACATAAACAGAAGCTGGAAACAGCTCATCTCTGACAATGTTGCTTAATAAGTTAATCGATAATCAAAACAGCAGGCCGTTAAGTGGCTTCTTGACACTTCATTAACCTTTGAGGGACTATAAACATGACACTGTAGGAGGACTAATTATTTTCATTATTGATTTATCTGTGCATTACTTTTTGACCAAGCTAAGAATCCTTTAGTCTCTAAAATGTCAACAAATTGAGAGAAATCCATTTTCTGGAGCCCACGGTGACATGTTGAAATTCCTGGTTGTCGCCCCCCAGTCTGATAAA